TTATCCTTCAATAAGTACGACTTATTGATAGCAAAAAAAAAAAAATTTCTTTTTTGAAATCAATTAAATTTGGATGCTTCAAAAAAATTGGTGCAGAAAAGTTGTAAACATAAATGAATAGATGTAAAGAAAAATTATGCACTTTTTCTTCGAATTTTACCAAAATAATATTTTGTAAATTATATGAAAAAGATTAAAAATGGAAATTTTAAAATTCCAACTTTTAATTTCTATCCATTTTTATACCTTTTTCCGTTCCTTTTTAGATATTCCCAAAATTATTTAACTTTACTGTAATTTATCCTTTACATTTTACACTACTTCCTTTTCCCATTTCTCATTAAACATAAATTATTATGAGTGACATTTTATTTTATTGAAATTTTTCGAATTTCAACATTCGGTAGAGAAAAATAAATATCTTCAAATATAATTTGAATGGATGCCCAAAAATTTGTTACAAATGAAAGTTAAAATATAAACTTATAACTTCATAAAAATTAATTAATTTGTAAATTTCATCACTTTTCCTCTTGCTGTAATCTTTTTTCTTTTTTTTTTGAAAAAAACTATTTGTCAATATGTATTGCGCCTTTTTTTTAAAATGTTTATGACAATTCCTTATAGTTTTTCATTCATTTTTTTTCTTTCCCTTGAGATCTAAATTTATTTAAAGCAATTTGAAAATTGAATTGATATTACTCAAACAAAACTGGATAAGCGCTCCTTCCTGGAAAAGTTTATCCAAATAAAACTTATCCAACAAAACTGGATAAGTTTTTTTTTTTGGTATTCCAGAAATATGGACATATTTTCGGATATTAAAATGATTGTATATCTCTATCAGTTTAGATTATGAAATTTTGGAAAACAAACCAAGATGCAAACAAGATCGATGATAGCATTATCATATAAATTCTTCGATCGTTCAGGCTCAAATTAACTTGTCTATTTTAGGCTCACACCTTGTTGTACCAATGTTTCATATATTTTTTGAAGCCATATTGTTCATGGGTAATGAAGAAAAAAAAGCCGAATAAGTGATATTGTGATATTATTCTAATTTTTGAATACAAAAATCAGATTTGATCAGCCATACAAATGATTAATCCAAAAAAATCCATCCTATATTTCATTCGTCATAATTTTCCATATTGATTAATCCGTAAGGTTTATCACTGATATTTTTCAAAATTATCACTACCGGGATTTATTTTGGTAAGGTACAATTAAGCTTCAAAATTTTTGAGAAATAATTTATCAGATTAGGAAAAGATAAGGTTGAATTAAGGTTGAATTTTGTGACCGAAAACAGGATGACTTGATTCTTGTTAGATTTAATCATTGTTTGCAAAACAGATTAGATGTTGAAAAATGCTTTTTCCTGGAGCAGAAATTATCTAGAATATCCTTCAATTTCTACCTGCACTTTATATATTATATTACTTGAATGAAAATTCATCTACCAATTCCTCTATGATTTTATTATAATTGTCTACTATAATTGTTTTACTATCTACTTATTTTAATAAAAATATTTGAAGCAATTGTATAAACAGGTAGAGAAAAAAAATGTTTTGCCATTGTCCGATAAAGGAAATTTGCCAAAGTGTATCAGGTAAGTGTATTATTTACAGTGATCTACTGTTATCATTTGCATAAATGCATGGTTCGGCTTTATTATCTTAATCAAAAAAATACGAAGGCGGACATTTAAAAAGTTGATTTACATTCAAATCATTAGGAATATCAAAGATGCAGTGAAAAAAAAAGAAAGAAACTTAAATTCGGCACCATCATGATAAAACTTTTCAGTATCATATCACAGAGTATCAGGAAAAAAGAAAAGAGATGAGACAAAATGGTTTAGTTTTAAAACGTGACTCGTATATATCATATGTTTTGAGGAATTATGTCAAACTCTTGAAGCAGAAAGAGGAAAATTTCTGACATGTAAATTGCAAAAGAATTCTTGACGCTAAAATTCTTTTTTTTTCAAATTTATATCACTTTTGAAAATTGTCCCTATCCTTTGAAAATTTATTAACAATAAATGAAACCCTAACGATTGAATTTTTTCTGTCATTTTTTCTTTAACGACGATCAAAATCCTAAAGGCGCAAAGAAATCTTTATTTTCGTCAGGTTTGAAGATGATCATAATGAAATTCTATTACGCTGTTGATTTATTAGTAAGGATGAGGATCTTCATGCCAGTGACGTAATGCTCGATCATTTGCACCAGTTGTATAGCTATAACGATTATAATTGCTACTAGTTGATCCAGGTGTTGTTATAGCAGCTGGAACAAAGAGCAATCATTGTAACATATCACATGACAATAATAATTAACACAATTAGCGCATAATATTAGCATTAAAATGAAATTTGAAACTAGAGCTGTTAGTTATAAGAAAGAAATTTGGTAATTTTGTAAGCTGAAATGAAACCTTTACCCGTATATTTCCGATATTGTGATGCAAACGGATCACGTGTAAATGAAGGTGTAAGATGAGATGATGGATATACACCATAAACTTTGTCCGTGAAACCATATCTAAAATAACTTCCGCTCAATTAAATACTAATTGTTAATTTTTTTAGAAAATGATTAACTGAATCCATCCGAATTAAATATTTTCGCTCTGAGAGAAAATTACCGTGATGAAGGCGATGATAAAAAGTTGGCGTAATCAAGATGTGCATAATTGCTTGGTAGTTGTTGGGAAGCTGCTGGCATTGCTACGCTTTCCTTACTTTTCCGGAAAAGTGATTTAATTTTATCAATAGGTGATGATGGTCTCTTGAAGTCTGATTCCAATCTGAAATAATATTTTCAATTCGAAGTAATAAAAAAATCTTTTTTGACCATATTTAAATATAACAAATATGACTAACCCTGGAACTGTAATTTTACCATCCGGACCAAGACGCATTTCAGTTGTTCTTCGTCGTCCAAGAGCCAGAAAAAGTGAACGTTTCTTTGCTGCTTTCGATGGCTCATCCTTCGAAACTTTACCTAAAATATTGCACACAATTTGGTTGGGAAAAATTAAATTACAGTGCAATTTAGAGTGAAATCGAAGCAAACTACAACGATCACTGTAAGAAATAATTTTGTTAACATTTCTAACAGTCGATGCATGATGTGTGATATTATCGAACTCAAATTTCTTTTTGATACAAAATAGATGAAATACTGTTTGCTCTCGGATTGGTGCATTTTTCTGCTGATAAATAAGATTAAAATACGTTCGAATTTTGAAGCATTTAAGATGGTCAAATAAATGTTTTATTTCAATAACTTGTCCCACATTTTTTCAGCTTTCCAAATTTTTTAAAAAGACATATCTGGAAGCATGATCCTAACAACATCTAGCAGTCATTCTACTTTGCTAACTCAGTGAAACAGATAAGTATTATATAATGTGATATAACACTAAAATATCACCTAAAACATATTATTGCCAACTTACTTTGATAAAATTTCCTAGGAGCACATAATACAACGACCGAACATAATCTCGAATAAAAAAAAAAAACATACCAGAAGCTGCAGATGTTTGATCTTTCCCTCCAACTATTCCTTGACCACTTCCTGTTGACGATATTTCGGTTGATGCACGGCTGCTATCATTTTCCGCATTCTAGAAATTTTCACATAACACAAAAGTCGTCTGTTTTCACTCAGAAAATTTTCACTAATATATATTTTGTATTAGTATTTGTTTATTTGTTTATTTATTTATTTAAGAAGTACACACAAAATGATAAAACAGTCATAGCATACGATTACTTAATTATGCTTTTGTACTCAAATATATAATTCGAAACACAATTATACACGAAAAACTAGCACAATAAATTCAATTACTAATTGAACTGAGGCGAAGAAAAAATATCAAAAAAGAAAAATTATACTCGTAAATTCAGGCAAATTATATATTCGGGCCATATCAAGAATATTTAGAAATCTTAGAAATATTTGGAAATGAGAAACTTCTCGTGAATTTCGTTTTTTCATCAACCTATGTTCATACAAATGACAGATAAAGCATGGATATCAAAATAATGATAAGATTATAGGATGCTTTTCTGCAATCGACAATAGCTAACAGTTAATACTACAAATTTAATACTACAAATAATCTGCTTCGCGAACATTGATAAAGCAAACTCTGAATGTTGTCGCATTCTTAGCTTCGCTATCAGTGACATACTGAAGGTTTCATTTTAGTAAAACTAATCTGAACTGTCTAATTGGATATTCAAAATTACTATCTAAATTTTTTCGCCCAAAAATTTTTTCAATAAAATTTTTACTTTTACTTTATGAAAAAATAATCAGTGCTATCATAGAATAGCATTACGATTTAAATTAGTTCCGGAATTCTATAATATTAGATCAAAACTGAAATGCAACTTACTTGTTTATTTTTCAAAATGCCTCGCGTTGGTAATTTGCTATGATCCGGTTCATGTGGTGTTGATCCTCGAACAGCTGTATCGTGAAAATTGACATAACTATATTCTGCTTTATCACCAGTATGCATGTCCGATGTCGTTACGAAATTTCGGAAACCTATTTAAAAAAAAGCACACATCAACAATTGTTTATTTTTAATGCTTAGTAATTTGTTGAATGAATAAATGGTGAAATAAGAAAAAACAAAGACAAAAAAAGAAAAATTAACTTTAATAATTTCGAAAAAAAATTAACCATTACTCTAAACGATCAAAAGTATTTCACTAAATACTTTGAAAATTAAAACAAACGAACCAAAATAATCAAGATCATCTTGACGTAATGCACTCCTTTCCATACTATTTGAACGGCCATATATGCGACGAGTAGGATCACCAAGAACTGATGCAATATGTCTTCCTGCTGGTCGATAACGATATGTTGCAGCTATAATATGTAACAAACATTGATAATCTATCAATAGATAAAATGTAAATTAGGACTGTAATTATATCAAGGAAGAATAACTTTTCGGAAATAAAATTTAAAAGGTAACGAAAAAATTTAAGTGCATTATTTCGATCCGTCCAAACTGTTGAAGTAAAATTACTACTATTAATTGGAAATGGTTGGAACTTAATCTTTTTTCGAATATGATATGATTAAAAAAATTACCTAATTAATTTATATAGATTGTAATATCTATAAATCGAATGAGTCAAACAAAGTTTGATTTTTGTTTGGTAAAATAATGAAGAGAGAAAATAACCATTTGATGATTCGTGATTTGTTTGATTCTGAATGTTAGGCGTCATTTCGGCATTATGACCAGCTGTAAAACAAAAATAAAAACAAAACAAAACAAAAAAAACAGATTTCAGAAGAAAGAATTTTGTTTGATTATTAATGCCAAGGAATTCCCATGTATCACAGTTTACAATAACTTGCTTCCAGTGTCACTATCATAGTTGTTGTTTCGTCGATACGGATAATTATCATCATATCTGGATTTGTAATCTGATGCATATGAAGAAATGGAATGATTACCGGTAGATGTACCACTATACCATGAAGAAGCTGGCATTCGATACGTTGATGAAGGATGCAAATTACTGTAGAAAAATCTTCATATTACAGAATTACGTGTTTAAAGTATGCTTAGCGGTGTTAGTTAGCTAACTTGATTATGAAATAATCTAACGATACAGAAAATGAGTAATGTTAAAATTGACCAGTATGAATTATCCAAAATATTAAGCTAATATCAAAGCAATGATAATAATGACATAACTTTAGTGAATGATAATTGCATGACTTTTAGTTTTGTAGCGGACGATGGAAACGGTAATCAAAGAAATGTTATACGTTGACTTCAGCAAGACATCGTCAAAGTTTTTCAGCTGAGTTTGCAGTTTGGTCAAAAATTGGCAGTATTTTTTTGCCAACACAGAGAAGAGAAAAAGTTACCTAACAGCTGTATTTTTCTCGGCTTCACGTTCAGCTCTTGTCTGATAGACGTAAAATCTTTTCGGCTCTAATGCCCATGACTGAGGTACTGATGACTGGAAACGAATAAAAATTAAATGGAACATGGAAATGATAAACTCTTGTGATATCATATCATATTGTAACAGCTTATCATTTTCATAAAATTTCACTTATAGTTGAAAGAAATGAGCAAACGACGAAACCTCGTTATCATAACGATTAATGATGGATGAACCAGGTGCAGCGAGCTTGTTTACATTAGTGTTGGTTCCAGTATGTCTGAATGTTAAGATACAGATTAATGAATGAGCTACAATTTTTGGATTAATAAATAAACTGCTGCATTTTTATCCATTCTGTTGAGATTCCCATTAAAAACAAATTGATCTAATTCAATATACTTTTCATTTAATGAGACATTAATGTTAACAAAGAGAATGAATTACGAATCAGGTCGATCAGGTGAAAGATCATGCGCTGATTTTGATTTCCGTTTATCGTCACGTGCCGTATACAAATTATGATTCAATCCCTGTAAATAAATGAATCAATCAACTTGTTTGCATCAGCAATGTGGCATATCAGTCTATTAATAAGGTCACAAGGCGAAGCTTAAACTAACAGCATTGAGCCGTGTCGGTGAAGTTGCATCTTTTTCAGCAGTTTTTCTAAAACTGTCGTCATTATAACGTGTATTTTGTCCATAAATAGCTGAATTCGGGTATCCTGAAATATTTCAGTTATCGGAAGATTTCTTAAAACTAGAAGGTCCTTAAATACAAAAACAATCCTAACGGAAACTTCTGTTGCATTAATATATTTAAAATAATTGAAGCTAACCTGGACTAGCCAAATGTTTGCCATTCGATTCATTTAAAAATTTATTATGAGCGTAAAAAAGGTCAGTTGGATACAAAGTACGATCAACGATTGTTAAACCAGGTGAAATTGATCGAGTAGGTGTACCTGTTGTACGAATCAATGATAATCCAACGGGATCATTGGTTGCTGCCATTGTATGACCTGTAAAAATTCAAATTTCAGTACTCACTGCAAAGTTAAAACAAAAATCAAATTTGATTTTAGATTTTTGCTCTTCATAATCATAAAAACATATGAACAAGCATATAATTGGTAACAATCTCAAATGATGAAAATTAGAAAAGTGTAAGTCTAAAAAGCAATATCAACTTCGCGTAGCTAAACTTACCAACAGCATATCGGCTAGGCGTCACCTCGTCACGATGATCAGTAATGCTAAAATGAGAAACAATCAGGAACTTAATGAAATGATTCCAAATTAAGGTTCCTCTCAAACCTATTGCGTCAAACTAATTGAAATTACACAAGAATTGTAATTTCGAAACTGTACCACAATTATTTTATTGCAAACTTCATTTCTACACTGTTAATATCGATCCTTATATTTATTTGTCATTGTTAAGAAAATTAAGCAGTAGTAATGGAATAATAATGTTGCTTTTCCGATGTAAACAAACTTTGACTTTAACCTCAACCGATAATACACTAATATATATTATAAAAATTGTTGCAAATATTGGAAGCACTTTTCCCTCCTTCCCACATCAATTAATTCGTTAATTTCAATAATTAGTGACTCTAGCATATTGTGAATTTGATTTTCGAAAAGCAGAAAAAGTAAACAACTACTAAGCAATTGAAAAACACAAACTATTGAAACGAAAAAAAAACATCATGCTATCATCCAAAGTAAGCTAACCTCTTTAAAACATTCTCTGAAACATCAATGGTACGATTTCGTCTCCGACGATCCCAGTTATGACGTCGTAGAAATGATGCAGCTGCATCGTATGACGGTATAGCTAACGATCGATTACTAAAAGTTAGTATACTAATTAAAAGCACAAAAAAAAGAAAAGAGAAATTGACCGGAAACTATCGAAATTCGAAGTTTATCATCACTCATTTATCTTTATCTTCGCCATGTGCACTGGACATTATTGAAAATACCATACTATCAAAATGAATTAAAGAAAAAAAGAAAGGAAATTAGGTAGAACAAAATTATTGTATTAAAATTTCACTTGAAAAGCTGAAATGAAACATTTGAGTAGCAAAAATATTTGAGTTTTGAAGCGAAATAATTAATAATTGGGTGATAAGATTTGTTGAGGACACGCTCAATCGGTTAAGATAAAGTAAGAAAATAAATTTTTCTTTTTGGTTCATTTGAATTTTGCAAATGAGAAAAAACTCAATTGAAACGAAAACTAACCCTAATTTAATTGGTTTGTTTGCTTTTCTTGTCGTCAATGATACATCCTTTTTATTATGCTCTTCCTTAGCCTTCGGTTTCATCTTGACAATTTGAAAAAAAATTTTTTTTTCGTTTTCTTTTTTTTAAAAGAAATATCAAACTTGAATAATTATAAAATTTGTAATTTCATGAAACCATTTCTATTTTACATTTCAATTTAAATCCACATTTGACCTTTGCATATGCATGTGGTAATTATTTCGAAACTTTTTAAAATAGTTTTAATGCTAATGTGGAAATAGTACCTGATATTTCGTATCGCCTATTACATGGTCTGCTTCTGGACTGATCACTTGTGATTTTCGATTTTCAACTTCAACTACAGAAATAGAATCAATAATTGTCAGCAACATTTGGAACTACAGGAATTGTAAAAATAATAGATGCTCCCAAATGTATAGAAGTTATAAATTAAAACTTTGAAATCTAAATTGAAATTTTTGAAGTGAAATTGCCAAATACCTGGTTGTTTGTTCGGTGCCACTTTGTTCGCCTCACTTTCTTCACTACTAACCTCTTCATCACTTTCTTCATTTTCATCTTCATCATCTTCTTCATCGTCGTCACTTTCTGACTCCGAAACTTCATCATCCGATTTCATCTCATTGGGTGGTGAACGTGGTGGTACCGAGCAAACTCTACTGCAAAATGATCCGTATTGTTTTTATGAACTTCTTTAAAATTGTTTAAACATACTGCAAAAAAAGGTAAACCAACAAACCAAATATTAATTAATCAGCTACCTTGCAATTTCAGCTGGATTTTCAGTACTCGTAACCATAACATCTGGATCTTGTGTTCGTAGCCAATTCTTGACAATTTTTTTACCAAGCCTACCCGGAATATCATCACCACTATCATCAATCGGTTTTGGATATGTCATAATATATTTCTTTGCCTGTAAAATACATTCATTTTCTATTTTCTTTTTTTTTCCGTTGAAATTTTGATGAATGAAAATATATTACTTATCCCAAACAATGAATGGAAAACTTCACGTAATTAAATTAAAATTCCAAGGACAATCAAAGAGAGATCATAACACTATGCAGAAAAGGAAAATGTCAACTGAAGATTCGTTATCGTTATACTTTCGGAAACAATTAAAACATCTAAAACTCTTGTAATATTTAAAATAATTAAAATTTAAATAAGGAATTGATAAAATATACGAAGTCAATAATAAAATGAAAAATAATAAAATTAGATGAAATGAAGGAAACAAAAGATGCCTTATCAAAGAGGAATAGCGATCGTTCAATGGTCGGTTGGGGTCCACCGATACGCCGATGTGGCAAAGTTGGACTTTCACATTCCGTCGATACACCTCGACCGTATAGTTCTACTTTACTATGCTACAATCCAAATAACGTCTTTATTTGGATGATATCATAATACCCATACTTTTTCGCCTTTCCCTTATCTCAGTTTTTTCTTTTTTTCCATTTTAAATCTTTATCAAAATTATTGATGCTTTTATGCATAATTGACAGAATGGTTGATAGAATGATTCAATTTTTCTTTCTTTTTTTATGATTTAATTCTACTGATATTTTAATCATTATCTTTTGCTTAAAAGAAAATTAACATGTTTCGCAATATAATATGTTTTGTAATATATAATTTTTTTTTTCTTAAAGTAATATGTTTTATAGGAAAAATTTGAACAAATAAACCTGATATTTCCCTTTGCTTTGTCGTTTTGCTAAGCCTCGATCGAAAGCATCGACGAATTGTGGTGCAACAACTTTCATATGTGGATCTGGTGGTGGATTATTTTCACCCGAATCGCCGAGATTTTCCTCTGATAATGCTGTACGATATGAAGCATTTTCTTCATCTTCGATCTTTAATTAGAACGAATTTAAATTCCAAGCAATAATGCTATTTAAGATACAAGGGTTTATCCGTTATCAAATGTACATGCCAATATTAATACATGGTTGGTTTCAGAAAATAATGCTGATTAATTTTTTTTTACCTATTTACAAGGTTATCGATGATCCAAACCCAAAATATGATGAGAATTCCTACACGTGATAAGATAACTTAAGTACAATTTTAATGGAATGAAAAATCTGGCTGTAATTTGGAAATCAATGAAAACAACTAATCCAATACGCTCATTTCATGATTAAAATATATGACAAGCTTTATTACTTAATCAAACTACCTGTTCTACTTCTTTGCCAAGTTCATCAATTTCACTATCACTTTCTTCAACCTCCTCATCATCTTCATCATCACATTCTTCACTTTCCTTTAATGATTCATCATGATCTAGTGGATTTACTTTAGACTGATTTCGATCACCATCCAGGATAATTTCACCATCACTTGCATCTTCGAACGAAGTATCCTGAACGAACATTCGTAGCTTATCAGCTACAAACAATCGATGGGTTTCGTATTTAATTATAAAATTGGTAGGAATCTTTTTAAACTTCAAGAAAATAAACTGATTCAGACATCAGTAAAGATGAAGACCTGAACAGTCTCTTCTGTAAGTTCATCATTATGAGAGAAAGATTTCACTGTTCCGATATTATGCTCTGCATCCTCATCCGGATCAAAACCAACCTAGAAAAAAAAAAGGAAAAACAAAACATTGTTTAAATGTTATATCATAGCTAACTTAATCATATAAATGTGACATTAAAATTAGCAGTAAGAGTTCAACCAAAAGTGACAATATAATGATTCATTGTTTCACTATTTCATTTTTAATAATAATTAATTCTAACATATAGCCTAGATGAATCAGAAGGAAATTTTAATCTCCCATAATTAATTGCTGCTAATTGCGAGAAAATTTAAAAATCTATGTAAATGTGTAGATGTTTGATCTATTATTTTCAAATTATTTTCAAACTAATTTACTTATTTTAATTATTTTCAAACTATAATTTATTTAAAAAATAAAATAATACGATACCTCTACACTATGCCATGGTCTTTCGCTATAATTTTTCATTTGTCCATTACATTGTGCTATACCATTTGGTTGATATTTTCCGGGAATTCGTTTCTCGTCTACTTTAACCAATGTTGTAGTTGCATTCTCATACGTTTTACTACTTCGTCTTCCTGTTATTCCGACTGTTGTTCCACCAATTGATGTTGCTATTGCTGCTCCAGCTGTTTGTCGTTTAATTAACTCCTAAATAAAATGTATGCATAATTTCTGATTCATTACATGCACGAATTATTATATAATTATTGAAAAATTATGCGCAAATATTTTAAATAATTATATCTAATGAAATCTTCATTTATTCAATGCAATATTTTCTTCCTTATTTATTATAATTTTAGCAGCAAAATTGTGAAATTTGCTTTTTTTTTTCTCCAAATTAAAAAAAGAAATCTTTTTTTTCTTTTATTTAACCTGAGATTGTTGTTGGATTAATTTCGAAGCTTGCTTTTGTACAGATGGTGGTTGAGCTGCAATAATTGATTCCAATAATTCCTTTACCATTGGTCGTGAATCATAAAATGGATGAGCTTTAATACGTGCAACTAATGTCATACTAACCGGTCCTTTCTCCATTTGTTCTAATACCTACAAAGTAAATTACATTTAATTACATGTGAATTCATGAAATTTATTTAAATTATCATAGGCATTAAATGATAACAAATGATAGCTTAATGATCATAAATGATAGCCTGATCGCTTAATTTATCACATGAATTATGTGAGATGATTTGATAAATGTTAGAAATTGTGTTTGTCATTAGAATCATTTGTTTCGAGAAATGATCATGTATAATCTATATGATTCATATGAGCGATAGTATCCCATGGTGGAATAACTGCACATTTCTCGATAATTCGGATAGTTGAAGGAAATAATTTTTAATTAAACCAAAAAAAACCTGATTCATAAGTATATTCAATGAATCCATTTCCAATCTCCATGTTTCAGCGGATGGCTTCCGAGATGCTTTGGCTGCTGCAATTACAGCTTCGGAATCCAATGGTACAAATGATGGTTTAGAAGTTTCATTACTTGTACCGGTCGATTTCTCACTAAAAATTTAACAATTTGAAAATCGTTTCATTTAACATTTGGAACAGAAATCATTTGTAATTTAAAGTAACATTTATCAAAACTCTCATTAAGACTTTCAAGTTTGGCTAATCAATTTAAATTTTGCTTGGAAAAAAATAATCTTAAAAAATTTCGAAACCTTTCAATTGATAAATAAATGGTAGAAACTAAAACTGTTTCAAACCTGATTTTAGAATTCGACGTAACTGGATCATCAGGTTGTTCCGGACTCAATCTTTCATTTTTGTTTTTCATTCTGCTACCACTACTGTCGCATTCGCTAGCAATTGCTAATGTTGGTTGTTTAAAACGACGAATTTCTTTATTTGCTAGGACCTATAAAAATGCGAAATATTGGAGCAAAAAAGAAACATACGAAACAAATATTGGATTTTGTCATTTTCATAAAATCCATTTTTCCAATTTATGAATAGATAAGTGAAATTAATTACTTAATATATATTCTCATTGGGTTAGGTATATTTGTTAATTTGCTATGCATAATAATTACCTGATTATCTTTGCTTTGTAGTCTTGATTCGAGTCGTTTAAGTCTTTCTAATGGTTCATAGTATGCATCCGGTTCTTCCACTGTTACTCGTTCCCGCTCCTTTTCCTTATTTAATCGCTGAAAATTGTACCAATGATTTGAAATTAAATCATGATTAAAAAAAAAAGGTGACAAAATAAAAATTGCATAAGCATACAGGATCATGACGTAAACTTTTTTCTGCAGCTGTAAGTGTTGACATTTCGGTGCCATCTGTTTTTCGTGTTTTTGGTGGTTTAATTGGTGAATTTTCAATGTATTCTTCAGCTTCCTTACGTCGTCTTCGAAATTCCTCAATTTTAAGTCTAAAAAATGGTTTTTTAACGATAAAATTACAATGTTACCTATTGGAAGAAAATTGTTATTTTATAAGAAAAATTTAAAAAAAAAAAATAATACCTGGTTGAAGGACTTAAATGCCCAAAATCCATGAATACATCAGCTTCATCAGCCAAATCTTGCACTATCATTGTTTCTGCGCGATCTGTTAACGGCGTATGATCGACGATCTATAATTTGGAATTTTCCAATACTTCTTATTAATCATGATAATTAACATACAATACAAAAGCCTTATTTTATGACTTCTGCTAACCTGATTTTCTGGAAGTTCTTGAATCACTGGCATATTTTCATCGAGATTTAACCACCAATGACTAGCAATTTCATCGATATCTGCTCGCCTTTCTGGATTCACCCGCAACATATTTCTAATCAGCATTGAGGCAGCTAAAAATGATGAACAAATAAGTTTTATCGTGATTAATATAACCGGAAATGATAAGCGAATAAATTCTGTTATGATTGATACAGCTAGAAATGATAAGCAAACAAATTTTATCATGGTTGATACAGCTAGAAATGATAAGCAAATAAATTTTATTGTGGTAAATATTATTGCTTATAAGTTGCTGTTACTTCTTTTACAACGCATAAATATCCAGAAAGAAAAAATCAGATTAAATCAATAATTAATGTAAACAAACTTGATGGAGTATCAGGCTCAAAATATGCGCCACGTTTAATTTGTCTAACCATTCGATTGAAATCACGGCCATCAAATGGCATTGACCCGTAAACAAGTGTATAGAGAAGAATTCCTAAACTCCAACAATCTACCTGTAACTTATATTTTAAATTATCATAATTAGCCAAATTAAACAACAAAAAAAAAAAGAGCCAAATCATAATTTAATCAAATAAAAACTTTTAGAATTTCTTTCCCTCAATTTTATACTAATGAAAGTTTTTAAACTATAAGAAACTTCATCAATCAATAAATGAATTTAAAACAAACATATGGATAATATGGATGAGGAAAAAGTATAGCATTTTTGAAGGAAATTTAAGCTTAAAATTGCAGAAAAAAAAATGATTGAAATTTCAAAAGTTTAGCTCAAATAAATGGACAAATGGATTTGGTTTAAATTAATAGATGAATAAATTTGGCTTAAATGAATAAATAAACATAATTAGCTCAAATAAATGATCGATTTGGATTAAATAAATGGTTAAATAAATTTGGGTTCAATAAATGCATGAATAAATTTAGCATAAATAAATAAATTAAAAGGAATTATATTTAAACCTCAGGGCCTCTGTACGGTGTTCCATTAATAATTTCAGGTGAAGCATAAAGTGGACTGCCGCAAAATGTATTTAATAATGTTTTATCAGAGAAATAATTGGAAAGTCCAAAATCGGCAATTTTGGCATTGTTATTTGCGTCCAATAAGATATTTTCCAATTTCAGATCTCTATGCGCTACTTTATGCTGTAATTCAATGAAATTTTAATAACAAAAAAAAAAAAAAGAAAAATATGAAAAAATTCTTTGGAATATTTTAATGTTAAAATTGAAAAAGAAAAAAATTATATTTTAATTCAGACTTAAAATCATTAAATATACATCGTTTACAAAGAAAGTTACCTTATGGCAATAAAGAATGGCAGATGTAATTTGACGAAAAATTCGGCGAGCTTCAGGTTCTGGAAGAGATCCAAATGTGCTTACATAATCGTACAATTCTCCGCCACTTGCATACTCCATGACGAGTATTATTTTATCCCTATTTTCAAACACTGAAATTTAATTTAATATTTTAATTTAATAATTTCGTATTAATCTATAATAATTTAGAATTAAACATTTAATGTAAACCATATATTTTTTTTTAATTTTACAGCAAAAAAATTATTTTTAAAAAAAAAAAAAAGATGAAAAAAAAAAACCTTCGAAAATTTGTATAATATTGGGATGATTCAGTGCGGACATAATTCTTATTTCTCGCCGAATTCTCACCAAATCTTGCTTATTTTCAATGGCACTTTTTTTAATGAGCTTTACGGCTACCTGAAATTAGAACAGATTTAAAAAAAAAAAAAAAAATCTGGAATTGCTCGATTTATCATAAAAATTTTTTTTGTTATATTCAATGGAAAACGAAGATCTGGTAGAAATAAAGCAAACAAATTGGAGGATTAAATTTTCAAAATTAAAAAATATTTTATTTTAGTTAGAAATAAAGAAAAGAAAAAAAAA